GTGCCCTGAACTTTAAATAAATGAAACACAAGCTGCATGGAGGGGAAGGGAGCTAGGGGACAGGCAAGGGGAGGTTACCCTGAGCACTGGAAGAATGAAAATTGTTCTAGCTCAGAAGCCATCAGGCCTGTAATGATGCTGATCAACGGTGAAAGAAATCACGCCCACAAGCATTCTCATCATGTTGTTTACTTTCCTGAAATACTAGCTCCTGGTTCATGTCACTATTTGTCGAAGAATCCTGTTATTAATTTATGCCTCTGTTTATTTACCTGGCCTTTGTTAGTTTAGACAGCAAGGCTAGGAGTTATGTCCAAACAACCAACAAGAAGCTCCAGGCAAAATATGAGTTTCACGTAGTTTTAAAATACAATCATGGTGATAATGTTTATACAAGTACTTTCAGAATTTGCTCTCATAGAACTAAAATTGTATTAATTAACCTCTGAACCTGTTGCTTGTTTTTCGATCACCTTAAAAATTCCCCAGTGTCGTGAATACAAGGGAACTTCACAAGAGACACCCATGTTCTGATAAACTTATGTTTATAAAAATGATCCATGTTAAATGCACTGGAATTCCATTTTAAAGTAGGAAAATAAAGAATTATTTTGCTGTATGACTGCTGCCCACTCATGTATCTGATTTTGTCAAGTCTCAAATGATAAGTATCAGAAAATATATGTTCTATACTCATTTCAAAATTTTCCTAAAATCAATGTGCATCATCAACTGCAAAGAGAATTCCTTTACCTCTGTAAATTACAGCATTGACCTCAAGTTGTATGTAGTGTTATATCAGTGTTGTAAGATTTATCATAAGAACATTGCCTAAGTATAAACATTTTCATCAATAAAGTTCTATCTAAATCCTCTCTCAAAAGTGAGTAAATGTCATGTAGTAAGTCCTTCCTAGCTTCCCTTTTCTGCTCCAAACCCACATTCTTTCCTTCTATAATTCTTGGCCATCAAGATCCTTCAGTGACCTGTAGCCACCAAACAGGTTTCCAGGATTTGATCTCAAATAGTTTAAAAAAAAATGGGGGGATTGTGCAGACTGAAATATTTGGCTATGCCTCAGGGGGAAAAAATGAAAAGCACTCTTAATCCATGGCTCTGACAACACTGTTCTGATTTTTTTTTTTTTCTAGTGCTGGCATGAATGAAATATAGGATGATTCATCCAATGAGAATTTGAATGCTGGTAAAAAACTGGACATAAATTCCAGGTGAGTTGAAGGAGAAAGAGATCAGGGACTTGTGGGGAAAATGCAAGCTGAGAATGAAAGGAGAGATTCTATGAATACAGGAAAACAAATATAGCCAGGTTTGAACTCTAATATTTAAAGCCTGCTAAAGGCCAGTGACAGATGACACCAAGATGAAAGAAGAGCCAAGGGTGAGAAGTTTCTAGGCTGACTGTTAAATAGATGTAGCTCACTGATGAGTGTGCCCATGTGGGATTTTAATTACTCAGACATCTGTTAAGTGAAGTGTATACTAAATAGTGATCAAATACAGAGATCAAATTATGTGGGGAGGAGAGTGGAGATGACATTCATGACTCAGAAAGGAGAGCTATCGGCCAGGAGAAAATCAATCCCGGCTTTACATCTCACCAACAGAGAAGCAATTATTTTAGATGTGGGGCTAGTTAGCATCATAGGTCATGAATTTAATTAAATAACCTTCAGAAAACAGAACAAACCACAGTATTTAACTGCAAATTAATGATCCAAATTCCTCCTCTTCTCTCCTTACAGTTGTCAGTGACAAAACAAGGTAAAAGAAACTAATAGTTGATGTAACAACATGGATGGACTTGGAGGGAATTATGCTACATGAACTAAGTCAGACAAAGACAAATACTGCATGATCTCACTTGTATCTGGAATATAAAAAATACAGAAATGAATATAATAAAACAGAAACAGATACAGTGGTTACCAGTGGGAAGAGGGAAAAGAGAAAGGGCAAATTAGGGGTAGGGAATTAAGAGGCACAAATTACTATGTATAAAAGGATACATTAAAGAGCACAGGGAATATAGCCAGTAATTTATAGTAACTTTAAATGGAGTATAATCTATAGAATTATTGAATCACTGTGTTGTACACCTGAAGCTATTATAACATTGCAAATAAACTATACAATTAAAAAAAATAATTAAAGCCAGTTGGATCCTAAAAAAAAGTCCAAAGTGCCTTAACCAATGGGTAAATGCAATAGTTACAATTAAGACAGTCATTTGATCCTTTTAATCTCTGAAATAGAAAAGCTACAAATCTGTTTTTTCTACACAGTGAATTTTGTAGCAAAATAAAACACAGTATACACAAACCTCACCATTTGCTAGCACCTAACTTAATCAAAGTTAGATGACTGGAAAACACAACAAATCTTTCATGCTTTCAAGGTCAGTTTCTAAATTTGACATCTTAGACTGGAGTTGGCCTTACCCAGGAATTTAAGGTCAGGGTTTATGAATTTAAGGAAAGGGTTGGAGATCTGAAAACACAACAGAAAAATCCTTCATTCTTTCAAGGTTAGTTTCTAAACTTGACATCTTGAGTTGGAGATGGCCTTACCCAGGAATTTAAGGTCAGGGTTTATGTTAAGCAGGACCTCAAATCAAGTTTAGAAACAAGCAAATCTTTAATCCTGTATTTAAGGGGATAGTTTGAGAGGAAAGGTTAGAAAAACAGATCAAACTCCTGTTGTAAATATGAGGTTGTCATTTGTTTTTACATACTGCATGAAATACGCCTATTTGGTGGTCAGTGTCTTCTATCTATTTTACTCCCTGTGTCTGGGCAAATGTGTTTATATTAGAAAACTCCATGAGGGCAGGAAATTTAGCTTTTCTTTATCATAAATCATCTGGTATAAACTCTACTTATCTAAGAGTGTGGGGCCTGGTGTGCCCAATTGCTGGCCAAAAGGTATATTCATTGACTGTCAAGATTGTCCCTAAATCACATATTGGTTTGTACAGAATGGAATAGTTGACAAAATTGTTTTATGCATCAATGCAAGCTATCGTCATAAGCATCTTATGAGTCAGCTGAACAAGTATCATCAGTCTTACTAACTGACAGACATGACTAGAACCCAAATGTTAATCTCCTTTCAGGCATCACTGATACGTATGCACCTATTTCTGTAACAGGTGACTGACTGAATGAATAAAGTTCAATCAATAGTAAGATTCACCCACTCTGTTCCCGAAGTCCTAAAAATAAATTGCTGTTAATCTAAGTTAAATGAGATATCCTAATGACAGTCGAATTTCAAATAAACTTCAGGGGCCAGGGAGGGGAAATAGTAAGACAGGGTTTACTCAGGCCAGAGGATTGGAATTGACAAAAATTCAAACCAGGGGTGAAAATAACAAAGAATAGAGGACAAATGCTATTTTTCCTCTAGTATAAATAGAAAAAAAAATTTTTTTTAATCTAATAGACTTTTCAAAGAATAAAGAAAGCTTCATTTTGCTTTAAGCCAAGAAACATTTCATAGCATACATTTTGCAAATTGTATATGATTACCTTGAAACACCCATTCAAACTCTATTAAATGTTTTATTTTCCTTAGTTTAAAACTATTTGGTAAGTATGAAATGATGTAAGAAGTGAAATTTCTCAAACAAAAAATATAATAGCAAGAAATACATAATGAGAAATTCACCATTCCTATAACATTTGCTAGACTGATACAAGGCAAAAAGAAATGGGATTATCTTGGGTTTGATAAAATTTTAAAAGATACAACAAAGCTACATATTATTAGAAAATGATGACAGAGATTAATCTAGAAAATATCAAAAATAACTGGATAAGTTTCTTTTGAGAGGTGGGAAAAAAAGAGTCCAATAGGAAACCTGAAGGCTAACATGATTGGAAACTATGTCCAAGGGACTCTCTGGTTATCATTTACTTCCTCTTCAGGCCTCCTGGGTAGATCACTGTCAGACATGTCCCTTTAAATTAAAAAAAAAAAAAAAAAGACACACACATGCCAACTAACCAAGGCTCCTGAATCCAATCATATATTCCCCAAGGTTAGAAACACCACAAAGGAAAAATAAAAAGGACAATACTAATGCTTTTTTTATTTAAAATTTTATAACAACTCCCTCTTATCTTCCTTTCAGCTCCATTTGTGAAAATGCATGTAAAGTCTGAGTTGAATGGTATCTTTTTCAAAATTTTCCTTAAATCCCTGAAAATGTGACTTTTGAAACTTGGAAATGTGAAACTAGGACAAGGGAACACTGAGGACCCATTTTACTTGCTTGTTTCAATAGCAGGCCTAGACTAAGAAGAAACCTTCCAATGAAAATGAGAGGGATGTCTGCAATAGTACAATGCTTAATATTGACTTCTACACTATCCAGCCCCAGGACAGGTAAGGAACAGTTCAGGGAAGAGTAAGATGAGAGGTAGAAAACTTAGGAGAAAGAGGAAACTTCCTAAATTCTTAGGAAAACCTGCCAGGTTCCCCGTAGAGTTCATGTGTTAGATAATGCATTTGTGTAACCAGCGTCAGCTTCTTTCAAACGCCTTGCACTTTGTCCCTGTGTCCTCTTGCAACTACTTCCCTTGGGTATCCTTAGACTTCCCAAGGCCAGCCTTCCTTGCCTGTGCCTATGAGGAACTGGCAAATTAATTAAGAGTTTCTGAACACTATCTTTCGTCTGTATCTAGTTAGAAGTGTGTGCATGTGTGGTCTTTAATGGAACAGTAACAAATTTGTGAAGACCCTTTATTGTCTTTTTTAAATTTCCCTTTCCATCAGATCCTATGCAAAGGATCATGACTAGTTCCTTCATACATTCAAACCACTAGTTTTTTAAAGTGTTACATAAATTTAGAAAATATTACCCAAAAGTATTTCACAATGACTAAATTAGTATGTATTTAGTTCAAATACTTAGAACCTTAATAAATATCATTCACAAATACTCTGCTGTCAATTCGAGCATAAAAATGTAACTTTGCTCAGTTAGTAAGTGGTTGATAGCTGTCCACTCTCTGCAGAAGTGTTTCTGAATATCCAGGGGAATAATATCTGAAAAAGAAAATTTTCTATTAGATCTTTGTAAAAATATTTGGCACAGTACACACAAAAGATTCAATGTAAGATATTTATCTGAAATAATTCTTTGAATGAAATCTCTCATACACCAACCAATTATACTGCAGGAATGCTTTGTGTATGAGGTTAGAGACAATCAAGGAAGAGAACACCAGCTCACAAGACTGTACCAAAAACACAGCAAAATATTTAAGGAGTATCAATGTAATGGCAAAGAAAGGGTATTTTCAAAGGAGCCAAAGTATTGGAGCTTCAGCATCAGTCCTTCCAATGAATATTCAGATTGATTTCCTTAAGATTGACTGGTTTCATCTCCTTGCAATCCAAGGGACTCTCAAAAGTCTTCGCCAATACCACAGTTCAAAAGCATCAATTCTTCAGCGCTCAGTTTTCTTTATGGTCCAACTCTCACATCCATACGTGACTACTGGGAAAACCATAGCTTTGACTAGACAGACCTTTGTTGACAAAGTGATGTCTCTGCTTTTTAATATCCTGTATAGGTTGGTCATAGCTTTTCTTTCAAGGAGCAAATACCTTTTAATTTCATGGCTGCAGTCACCATCTGCAGTGATTTTGGAGCCCAAGAAAATAAAGTCTGTCACTGTTTCCATTGTTTCCCCAGTTATTTGCCATTAAGTGATGGACCAGATGCCATGATCTTCATTTTTTGAATGTTGAGTTTTAAGCCAGCTTTTTCACTCTCCTCTTTCACTTTCATCAAGAGGCTCTTTAGTTCCTCTTTGCTTTCTGCCATAAGGGTGGTGTCATCTGCATATCTGAGATTATTGATATTTCTCCCAGCAGTCTTGATTCCAGCTTGTGCTTCATCCAGCCCAACATTTCCCATGATGTACTCTGCATATAAGTTAATAAGCAGGGTGACAATGTACAGCCTTGATGTACTTCTTTCCCAATTTGGAATCAGTCCATTGTTCTATGTCTGGTTCTAGCTGTTGCTTCTTGACCTGCACACAGATTTCTCAGGAGGCACATGGATCACAGTCTTGTCTAACTCAATGAAACTATAAGCCATGCCGTGTAGGGTCACCCAAGACAGATGGGTCATGGTGGAGAGTTCTGACAAAACATGGTCTACTAGAGAAGGGAATGGCAAAGCACTTCACTACTCTTGTCTTGAGAACCCCATGAATAGTATGAAAAAGCAAAAAGATATGACACTGAAAAAGATGAACTCCCCAGGTCAGTAGGTACCCAATATGCTACTGGAGAAGAGTGGTGAAATAACTCCAGAAAGAAGAGACAGGGCCAAAGCGAAAACAACATCCAGCTGTGGATATGACTGGTGGTGGAAGTCAAGTTCAATGCTGTAAGAAACAATACTGCAAAGGAACTGGAAAGTTAGGTCCATGAATCAAGGTAAATTGGAAGTGGTCAAGCAGGAGATGGCTGTTTTAGGAAACAGTGAACTAAAATGGACCAGAATGGGTGAATTTAATTCAGATGACCCTTATGTCTACTACAGTGGGCAAGAAACCCTTAAATGAAATGGAGTAGCCCTCATAGTCAACAAAAGAGTCCAAAATGCAGTACTTGGGTGCAATCTACAAAATGACAGAATGATCTCTGTTCCTTCCAAAGCAAACCATTCAATATCACAGTACTACGTCTATGCTCCAACCACTAATGCCAAGAAGCTGAAGTTGAACAATTCTATGATGACCTACAAGACCTTCTAGAACTAACACCAAAAAAGATGTCCTTTTCATCATAGGAAACTGGAATACAAAAGTAATAAGTCAAGAAATACTTGGAGTAACAGGCAAGTTTGGCCTTGGAGTACAAAATGAAGCAGGGCAAAGGCTAATGGAGTTTTGCCAAGAGAACATGCTGGTCATACAAAACACCCTCTTCCAACAACACAAGAGATGACTCTACCCATGAATAACACCAGATGGTCAATACTGAAATCAGACTGATTATATTCTTTGCAGCCAAAGGTGAAGAAGCTCTATACAGTCAGCAAAAACAGGACCGGGAGCTGACTGTGGCTCAGATCATAAACTCCTTACTGCCAAATTCAGACTTAAATTGAAGAAACTAGGGAAAACCACTAGACCATTCGGGTATGACCTAAAGCAAATCCCTTATGACTATACAGTGGAAGTGACAAATAGATTCAAGGGATTAGATCTGATAGACAGAGTGCCTGAAGAACTATGGACAGAGGTTTGTGACACTGTACAGGAGGTGGTGATCAAAAGCATCCCCAAGAAAAAGAAATGCAAAAAGGCAAAATGATTGTCCAAGGAGGGCTTACAAATAGCTGAGAAAAGAAGAGAACCTAAAGGCAAAGGAGAAAAGGAAAGACATAACCATCTGAATGCAGAGTTCCAAAGAATAGCAAGGAGAGATAAAAAAGCCTTCCTCAGCAATCAATGCAAAGAAATAGAGGGAAACAACAGAATGGGAAAGACTAGAGATCTCTTCAAAAAAACTAGAGATACCAAGGGAACATTTCATGCAAAGATGGGCACAATAAAGGACAGAAACAGTATGGACCTAATAGAAGCAGAAGATAAGAAGAGGTGACAAGAATACACAGAAGAACTATACAAAAAAGATCTTAATGACCCAGATAACCACAATGGTGTGATCACTCACCTGGAGCCAGACATCCTGGAATGTGAAGTCAAGTGAGGGCCTTTGGAAGCATCACTACAAACAAAGCTAGTGGAGGTGATGGAATTCCAGTTGAGCTATTTCAAATCCTAAAAGATGACATTGTGAAAATGCTGCATTCAATATGCCAGCAAATTTGGAAAACTCAGCAGTGGCCACAGGACTGGAAAAGGTCAGTTTTCATTCCAATCCCAAAGAAAAGCAATGCCAAAGAATGTTCAAACTACCGCACAACTGCACTCATCTCACATGCCAGCAAAGTAATGCTCAAAATTCTCCAAGCCAGACTTCAACGGTACATAAACTGAGAACTTCCAGATGTTCAAGCTGGATTTAGAAAAGGCAGAGGGACCAGAGATCAAATTGCCAACATCTGGTGGATCACTGAAAAAGAGAATTCCAGAAAAACATCTACTTCTGCTTTATTGACTACGCCAAAGTCTTTGACTGTGTGGATCACAATAAATAAATGATACAATAAATGGATTAAAAAAAACTAGCAAGTGTAATTTAAAATTTTATAAAACATTTGGAATAATTAAACCTCCTAAGGTGTTTTCTCCAGATAAAACCTAACATTCAAGACTTACTTTATCCTTTGTTAATTATCCTTATCTCTCCTCAGGTGCTTGACTTAAACTCATAATTTATGTTACATTAATTTCTTCCACAATTTGTCAAGTTACTGTGGATAAAAGAGCTGTGTTTTCTCAATAGTATGTTTACAAGCAGTCACAGAGAAACATGTGCATACATGCATACATAAAGAGCTACATTAAAGAATATTTCTGCACCAAAGGCTTGTGTGATTGCTCAGTCACTCATCTGTGTCTGACTCTTTGCAACCCCATGGACTGTAGCCTGCCAGGCTCCTCTGTCCATGGGATTATCTCAGCAAGAATATGGGATTGGGTTGCATTTCCTTCTCCATGGGATCTTCCCAACCCAGGAATTGAACCCACATCTCTTGTGTTTCCTGCATTGGCAGGTAGATTCTTTATCCAAGTGTATCCTAGCCACTTGGGAAGTCCCAAAAGGCCTCCTACCCTTGAGAAAAATTGCCCCTAAACAGTGAGTCTCTTCAAAGTATTCCTAGACCAGGGAAGTTACAGCTGTTTCTCCATGAGTTAGTCACAAATTTTAAAGCAGGCCTCACCTTCCTAGGTCTTATAAATGCATTAGACACAAGGTAAATACTTTTTATAGAAATGGTAAAGAGTGAGTGGATTTAGAAAAACCAAAACTTTAAAAATCATGCTGTTTCACATGGTAGCCACTAGCTACAGGTGGCTCTCGAGCCCTCGAAATATGACTGAGGAACTGACTTTTATATTAAATTTTAATTAAAAATATTAATAACTGATATTCAACTCAGTTATTGGAAAAAATTTAAGTGTGTTTGGAACAACTTGCATATCTACTTTTTCAACTGTAAACTTTATGTCATCTAAATACAGATCATGTATTTCCAATGAAATTTAATATCTAAATTGAGATGTACTGGAAGTGACAAAATGTCCACCAGATTTCCAGAACTTAGTATAAAAAATGTTAAATAGCTAATTAATAATTTTTATATTGATTACTAAATGCTGGAGATTGTGTGGAGAAAATGGAATACTCCTACACTGTTGGTGGGAATGTAATTGGTACAGTCACTATGGAAAACTGTATAGAGGTTCCTTAAAAAACTAAAAATAGAACTGCCTTATGACCTAGGGATCCCACTCCTGGGTATATACCCCAAGAATACCATAATTCAAAAGACACATGCATCCCAGTGTTCACTGCAGCACTATTTACAACAGCCAGGACATGGAAGCAACCTAGATGTCCATCAACAGATGAATGGATAAAGAAGATGTGGTACCCATAAGTAATAGAATATTACTCAGCCATAAAAAGGAATGAAACTGGGTCATCTGTCATCATGTGATGAGCCTAGAGTCTGTCATATGGAGTGAAGTAAGACAGAGAGAGCAAAACAAATATTAACACATATATATGGAATCTAGAAAAATAGTACTGATGAACCTATTTGCAGGGCAGGAATGGAGATGCAGACTTAGAGAACAGGCTTGTGGACACCGTAGGAGAAGACAAGGGTGGGATGAGTGGAGAGCGTAGCACTGACTCCTGTATGTAAAACAGACAGCCAGCGGGAAGTTGCTGTGCCGCACGGGGAGCTCAACTCGGGGCTGTGTTATGACCTGGAGGGGTGAGAGGGAGGCTCAGAAGGAGGGACTGCGTGTATCCATACAGCTGATTCACTTTGTTGTATAGCAGAAACTAACACAGTATTGTAAAGCAATTATATGCCGATTGTAAAAATAAGTTAAAAAATTTATTTGAAGACAGCTTCCTGCTACATTACTATGAAGAATCTGCACTTCATAAAGATTATTTTTTTCAGATACAGATAGTAACTTTCTTTTTGCCATCCAACATCTCTTTCTATTCTTTTACTGATGCAGTTGATTTACAATGTTGTGCCAAGCTCTGCTACACAGCAAAGTGACTCAGTTATACACTTATAGACATTCTTCTTTTTATATTCTTTTCCATTATGGTTTATCAAAGGATATTGAATATACTTCCCTATTCTATACAGTAGGACCTTGTTGTTTAAACATCTTATATAATAGTTTATGTCTGCTAATTCCACCTCCCAGTCTTTCCTCACTCTTGGCAACCCAAGTCTGTACTCTATGTATGTGAGTCTATTCCTGTTTTATAGATAGATTCATTTGTGACATATTTTAGATTCCACATATACTGATTTCATATAGTATTTGTCTTTCTGAATTATTTCACTTATTATGATAATCTCTAGTTGCATCCATGTTGCTGCAAACGGCAATATTTCATTCTGTTTTATGGCTGAGTAGAAAAACATCTACTTCTGCTTTATTGGCTATGCCAAAGCCTTTCACTGTGTGGATCACAACAAACTGTGGAAAATTCTTCAACAGATGGGAATACCAGACCACCTTACTTGCCTCCTGAGAAATCTGTATGTAGGTCAAGAAGCAACAGTTAGAACCAGACATAGAACAACGGACTGGTTCAAATTGGGAAAGGAGTACGTCAAGGCTGTATATTGTCACCTTGCTTATTTAATTTACATGCAGAGTACATCATGTGAAATGCCAGGCTGGATGAAGCACAAGCTGGAATCAAGACTGCTGGGAGAAATATCAATAATCTCAGATATGCAGATGACACCACCCTTATGGCAGAAAGCAAAGAGGAACTAAAGAGCCTCTTGATGAAAGTGAAAGAGGAGAGTGAAAAAGCTGGCTTAAAACTCAACATTCAAAAAATGAAGATCATGGCATCTGGTCCATCACTTAATGGCAAATAGCTGGGGAAACAATGGAAACAGTGACAGACTTTATTTTCTTGGGCTCCAAAATCACTGCAGATGGTGACTGCAGCCATGAAATTAAAAGGCATTTGCTCCTTGAAAAAGCTATGACCAACCTATACAGGATATTAAAAAGCAGAGACATCACTTTGTCAACAAAGATCTGTCTAGTCAAAGCTATGGTTTTCCCAGTAGTCACGTATGGATGTGAGAGTTAAACCATAAAGAAAACTGAGTGCTGAAGAATTGATGCTTTTGAACTGTGGTATTGGCGAAGACACTTGAGCGTCCCTTGGATTGCAAGGAGATAAAACCAGTCAATCCTAAGGAAATCAATCCTGAATATTCATTGGAAGAACTGATGTTGAAGTTGAAACTCCAATACTTTGGCCAACTGATGCAAAGAACTGACTCATTGGAAAAGACTCTGATGCTGGGAAAGATTGAAGGAAGGAGGAGAAGGGGCCGACAGAGGATGGTTGGATGGCTTCACCAACTCGACGGACATGAGTTTGAGCAAGCTCCGGAAATTGGTGATGGACAGGGAAGCCTGGCATCCTGCAGTTCATGGGGTCACAAAGAGTAGGACATGACTGAGCGACTGAACTGAACAGAGTATTCCATCAACATCTCCTTTCTATCTGTAATAGCAGTAATTTGTAATAACAGTCTCATTAATATGAATGTGAGCTTAAGGCAGAGAAACAATATGCAAGGAACTATGAAAATCAAACACTTTCTATTAACAGTTGATAATTTACTTTGAACTCTGGATTTGGGTACCCTTTAGTAAAACATACATTAAATTAGTACAGAAATGTCTTAAATGACATTTCAGTTTCATTTGGAAAAGTATGTGTCAATCAGAACATCATTTAATTTGAAGGATAAAAGAGACCGAGGGAGAAGCAGGAGTATATTTTGGTCTTCTGTGCTATTTCAAAGTCCACATTTTCACACAGTGGATATAAAAATCTCAATTTGAGAATCAAAAACCAGAATAACACTGACCTTCCCAAAGTCCATTTTTCCTACCTTACTATTTCTTCTGGGTAACAGTTGTTAATGCTGTTGATATATTCTTGAAGGAGAGATCCAGGTTCTGCTTTTATCTCTTGCACCTTTTTAAGTCCACCACTTGTTACAAAAAGTCGTCGAGCTTTGCTATCATGTGGCAGCACCTTGAAAAGTGAAGCACATAGAAGTGTCAGCCTTTCTTTTCCAAGGTGGATTTTTACTCTTGAAAAGCAATAATATATGAGGAAGTGAAAAAGAGAATTTATGTCTAATATACCTGGAACATAATGAGCCTAACTTTGCAAATGATTCTAAGAAAAATGCAGCCTTTTTGAAAATGTATCAACTTGGTATGCTGTGGAGATGGAATAAAGGCAATGAACAGAAGCAAAGGTAACAGAGATCCAATCGAGATCCAACCATATAGGTATGATATAAAACAGTGGCCGTCCTTCGCTTACAGCCATTCAAGGTCTCTCCAAAGTTAAAGGCAAGCTCCTTAACAAGGCGCAGAGGGTCTTCTGTGACCCAGGTCCTAAATACCTCTCCGAAGTCCTTCCATACCAACTTCTACACTAAATTTTGTTTCAATAACCTCAAAGGGTGCGTCTGAACCATTTTTTGCTTTGCCTATGCTGCTTCCTCTTCTCTGAAATCCCTTCTGCCCTCCACACACTTCTCCCATTACTTGGGGGTAACGTCCTATAAGAAACTTTCTCTGGGACACCCCTAGTCTCTTTCCCAGGCTGAGCTGGGTACATTTCTTCTCTCAAAGCATTCTGTTAGACTCTTTTCAGTGCACCTGCCACATAATAGTTTAACTATTAGGGACTTCCCTGGTGGTCCAGGGGTTATTAAGACTCCGAACTTCCACTGCAGAGGGCACAGGGTTCCATCCCTGACCAGGAAACTAAGATCTCAGAAGCTATTAAAAAATAAAAATTTTAAAAGTTTATCATGAAGTCTAGCACATTGAAGTGTTTTCTGATTGTTTCATCCAGGTAGGCATTTAACAAAACTAAAACTACAAAGGGATCTTGTTATTAGAATGATAAGACACATCAACTGGACAATAAAAGATGACACTAAGTGTGCATGTTTCTAAAAAGTGGAAATGCCTATAGGCTTTAAATATTTTGTTTGGCCTGGAGAGTTTTTATTACCTCCTATCTTTTAAATTAATATCTTTTTATCTTCTGCCTTGCTGTCCTCTCTCTTTTCTAGTGCTCTGGATCCATAGATTAAGAAAAGGTAAAATTCTACCTGAAGCAAATATTCCTAAAGCACATTTATAAGACTATGTGGTATTGTGTTTATTTTATCTTAGCTAACTTCCACAAATCCCACTGACTTACTTTAAAAGTGACTTATTTTGAACTCAGTTCAGGCTAGTGTTCATTTTCACAGCAAGTTCAATAAAACTAGCATATCTCACTCCTGGTAGCCTGAAAGATTAGAGTATGAAATGAAACTTTCAGAAATAATGTCAGCTACGCACAAGAGATGATGACAGTCTGTAGATGATCCACTTGTCCCCTTACACTTTCCTCCCTCTTAGCTGATCAAATTAGCTGGTTGCTTTCTTACTTAGCACCCAGAAAACAAAGGTTGATTATTTTCTTTTTTTTTTTAATTCTTTTTCTGAAGACAGGGGCTCCACAGGGGTCACCAGCCTGCCTGATCGGTGGACACCAGGATGCCCCCTCCCTTGCCTTCCAAAGGGCAGGGTGAATCAGTGCTACAGAAGGGTTTACACCTGCCATCCTTGGACTAAGGAGGTATAGAAGAGCTCCCCAGGTGCACTTATATGCCAGCTTTCTGGCAGGACATGACCCCTACCAGACCATCAGGCTGCTACATAAGGTACCAACCACCCCAGTTTGCCCAGGACCCATTTTGGCATTGAGAATCTATTTCCCAGGAAACCCTCCAGTCCTGGCCGAATGGGAACAGTGGGTCACCCATTTCGGTGAGTGGCTATGGAAGTTCATTATAACCCACTCGGATTGGGAGGAGGGCACCTTGAACACACCATCCGGGGCTCATGGGGTTTGCTGAGAGCAGCTTAGAGGACCTCCCATGGCTGAAGGAGTTTCAAGCATCCTTCCAATCAGCTGTCTTCTAAAGCAGGGATCGGAGCAGTCCTGCCAGGGACACCTGGGGAGTCCACACACATTCTACCCTGACCTCTCGTCACTTTGAGAGGCAGGCAGTTCCCACCCACCCAGCCCCAGAACCAGGGGACCAGGCGTCCTGTTCCACAGCCTCGCAGCCTTCCAAGGGAAGCAGCTACCACTGGTTCTGCCTCTTCACACCCAGACACAGCTCCTTCTGAACTTCTTCTGCCAGGATGTGCTAAGGTCACCCCAGGTGTGAGAGCTGGGTAAATCCCATCCGCTGCTCTCAGATACCTTCATGGAGAAAATATCAGGGGTTCCAAGAGACTTCACAGACCAGCGAAGTATGCCCCCTCCCTTTTTTGCCTATGGGGTTTTCAAGGCCAGAGTCACTTGTCCGGCAACACTGGAATGATCCAGGTGGCTACTAGCGTCCTGTGCAGTCTCCAATCTGGGCAGATAAATGCACAGGCACCTCTGAGGGACCAGGAATAAAATCCAGGCCTACTTAGCTGTTGGGGGCCATTCCTTGACATCTGCCTGGAGAGATGGGGATCTGCTGTTTGGGAGCCTCCCCCAGCCTCTCGCTGTGTTGTGTGCTCAAGGAGGCAGGGAGCAGAGGGTCGCATTTCATCACCCCCGTTCTGTGTAGGGTGGTCACTGCTCAAGCGTGAGGACCTGAGCTGTGAGCCGCCGCAAGGGCTAGTTCACAGCTGGTCTTCACTGTCCATCTTTTCTAGAAAAAGCACCTCTGATTAACAGTGCAACAATTGGTTTGTGGTGGGTGGGTGTTGCATGTACAGGGCAGCTTTGCCTTGCCAGAGCCCATGCGTCTGCCACTGTGCCAGCGTTAGAGCCCCCTTATAGGAAAAGGGGGGCCATGGTCCTGATGGCTTGGTGCCACTGAGGTGGCTGCTGCTTTTATATTAAAAATCTCTCATGGCAATGTACCAGGAACGATCAGAAGTCTGTTCAGTGGGGAAGGCCGTGGTGTGTACTTGATGGATCCGTTGGCATTCAGAGAAGTTTACGGGCCAGCTTCTTAGTTGGGAGCCTAGCCAGCTTTTGGGACCTCCCTGGGAAGTAGGGAGGAGGTTGGGGGGGTGACTTAGCGGAGGATGTGAAATGAGGAGAATTTAGGACACCCCATCCCCCCTAAACAGAACAAAACTGAAGTTTCCCCCCAAATCCACTGTTCCTGGAAAATCTGTAAAGAGGACATAGCCTTTCTCAGTTGTACTCTCATGATACAGGTCATTGAAATGAACCAAGAAATAAAATGGAAAAAAAAAATCAAAAAAAAAAATGTATTCATTTGACTGCACCAGGGCTTAGTTGCAACACGTGGGATCTTCGATGTGTCATACGGGATCTAATTCCCCAGCCACGGATTAAACCTGGACCCCCTGCACTGGGAGCACAGAGTCTTAGCCACTGGACCACCAGGGAAGTCCCCTTATTATTTTCTTAGAAGGAAGAAGACAGAGCACAGGTGTTTAATACGCAGAGCTGTATCCTGAGGGTGCTTCAGCAATGTAAAACCTTCTACCATCCAGTGACCATGGTGCTTAAGGGGCAGCAAGATGTTGGAGATCACAGAAATGCGTCAAAGACAGTACGATCTTTCAGAGGAATACCTAAAACTAGATCTACTCAGCTGTAGGGCCTAGCTTAAACTTTTTAACAACATACAGTTTTTGTTTATTATTTGTAGAAATATAGTACACAACAATAGTACCTCCTTTATATAGCCTTATAACTGACGCTTCAGGTGAATTTGGCCCCCATTCATTTTTATTATTTTTTTAAAGTCAGCCTTTAGCACTTCTATGTTTTATTTCTCAAAAACAACTTTTTGGGGGTTTGTGGGGTTTTTTTGGTGTTTTTGGTTTTTGTTTTTTTTTTTTTGAGTGCCTGGGATTAAGCTAAACTCTATACATGTAACAACTCATTAATCTTTACAATGACCCTATAAAATAGGTTCTCTTATTAGCCCCCTTCTATGGGTAATTATACTAAGGTTTAGAGAGGTCAAGACATCGTTAAAGGTATTGCTGCTAGTAGAAACCCAGGCAACCCAGCTCCAGAGCCTGAGCTCACAGCCACACTGAGATACTAATTTCAAAGACCCTATTTTCTTAAATCCAGCCTGAACACAACCTGACCACCTCTTGATGACTTTGGCCCCCTCCTGGCCATCCACAGCGGTGGGAACACACACACTCTCGGCCTCCCCTGTCGGCTGTCGGTAGTCAGTTCCTCTGGCTGAACCCTTTCCAGCAGCTTGACCTTTCCACCTTACTATCTTGAGTCTGCAGTGAGCTAAGAAACATGACAACCATGCTGGTTAAAGAGTGGTCACCAAATAAGCCAATACATTCCAAATGTTTGTCTGGAAGCATCTCCGGTAAGTGCATGGATTTCGCAAAATATACTGTGGGGATCTTTGCAGTTGTTCCCAGCTGAGTGAGACTAACAGACACCAGGAAAACTACCAAAGGGTTATGAGGTTTTCACATGTTGACTCTTTTAGTCTCCAAGAACATAAAAAAGACAGTACAGAGGCTGTGAGGTAGCATGATGAAAAAGGAAGTGTCAATTATTTATGTGTGAATTTTATTAACATGTGAATTTTATTAACCTATATTACCCTCCCTGTCGATATGATCAGTAAAATCCAACAGTAAAACCCTGCCCCCATCTTACAGAAGAAAACATTGACCCAACAGAAAAATGCAAGTTAGAACCTTGTTTTAATTCTCTTTCCCCACTTCCAGGCTAAAAGAGCATGTCTTACCTTACTGAACTGTCCAACCACGTGCTTCAGAATATTGGGAGGAGCATCATACAGAAATGGTTCAAGAGCTGGTAAATAGGTGCATTTTTGTAAGATGTTCTTTATGGCTTTTTTACTCTATTGAAATACAAAGCAAAATACATACCAAAGTAAGTAATCAATGAAAGCTTGACAGAAAGTCACGTCTTGCGTTCTGGAGTTTGAAAATGAAATGAAGAGCTTTATGATGAACTTAACAGCTGTTGGTGACAGTCTACTAATGTGCTACTGGAGATCACATTCACTGTACCAGACAGCCATACCCCAATCCTAACCGTTCCAAGTTGGTGACAGACTGCCAAGTTATTAACCAAGAATTCTAATGACAGTAGGAATCCACCGAACTTTACTATCCTTCATCAAGAAATATACTTGATTTTTGACCATAAACTTCTACATCAGGATGTATATCATTAATAATAATCAGGTGTATTATCCAGCATGAAACAAATATTAGTATATTAGTTAAGATTTTTGTTTACTTGTCAATATCTGGGCTTAAGATTAATTAACAACACTATTGAGATATAATTTACACACCATAAATTCAACTCACTTTAAGTACATGGTTCAATGGATTTCTAGTAAATTTACAGAGTTGTGCAACCATCACCACAATCTAATTTTAGAACTTGTCTTCATCATCCCCAAAAACCCCATGCCCATTATAGTTATTCCACATTCCCGCCTCTACTTGCCCCTACCAGCCCCAGACGATTACTAATCTACTTCCTGTCTCTATATTTCACTCTTCTGGACCATCCATATAAATGAAAGCATATTATGTTAACTTTTGGTTCTGGCCTCATTTGCTAAGCACAATGTTTCTGAGGTTCATCCACATTATGGCACACATCAGTGCTTCACTCCTTCCACAGTCAAATAGTATTCCATTACAGGGATTTATGATATTTTGTTTATCCATTCACCAGTTGATGGACATTTGGGTTAATTCCACTTTGGGCTAATGTGAACAATGCTGCTATGAAGATTCACATGCAAATATTTTCACTTGGGAAAATACTGAAGAGTAGAGTTATTGAGTGATAATGGTAAATTTATGTTTAATATTTTGAGAAACTACCAAACTATTTTTCAACATGACTGCAACATTTTACATTCTCAACAGTAGGGTGTAAGAAGGTCCAATTCTCCATAAGATGATCAACACTTGATATTTTCTGTCTTATTAATTACAGCCATTCTTGTGGGTGTGAAGTAATATCTCATTACAGTTTTGATTTGTGTTTCACTAGTGACTAATGATGTTGAACATCTTTCCATGTGCTGACTGGTCACTTGTCAGTGAAATGTCTATTCATTTTTGCCCATTGTTTAGTGAGGTTAGGTATCTTCTTATTGAGTTGTAAGAGCTCTTTATATATTTTGAATACAAGTCCTTGCTTGAATATATGATTTGTGAGTAATTTTTCAGTCTGTGGCTTGTCTTTTCATTTTTTCAGTAACGTCTTCTGAGGCATATAAGTTTTTCATTTTGATGACATCCAATTTATCAGTGTTTTCTTTTATTACTTGTGCTTTAAGTGTCATTTCTAAGAAATCAATGCCTATTCCATGGCTAAAAAGACTTACTCCTATGTTTTCTTCTACGAGTTTTCTAATCTTAATTCTTACATCTAGATCTATCAGTATTATCCATTTTTAGTTAATTCTAGTGTATGGTATGAGATAAGGATCCAAATTAATATTTCTGTCTGAAGATATAATAATTGTCCTAGTACCATTTGCTGAAAAACTATCTTTTAACATTAAATTGCCTTGGCACCTTTGTGAAAAATCAGTTGATGATAAAAGGGTCCATTTCAGACTTTTATCTGATTACTACATTGATATATATATATATATGGTCTTTCTGTAAGCATCTTGCTTGTGTAGCTTCATAGGAAGTTTTGAAATTGGACAGTGTAAGTCTTTCTTTTTCAAGATTGTTTTGGCAAGTTCAAGTCCTTTGCATTTCTATATGAATCTCAGGATCAGCTTCTCAAGTTTTTCGAGGAAAAAAGACAACGGGGATTTTGACAGGGATTGTATTGAACATGTAGATCATTTTTAACAATACTGAATTGCCATTTTAACAATATCAAACCTTCTGATCTGTGAACATGGAATGTCTCTTCATTTATTCAGATCTTCTTTAATTTTTTTCAGCAATGTTTTATAGTTTTCAGTGTACAAGTCTTATACTTCTTTTGTTAAATATATCCCTAAATATTTTATTCTTTTGATGCTATTATAAATGAAACTATTTTCTTAATTCATATTTGAGTTACTCACTACTAGAATATGGAAACACAGTTGGTTTTTACATATTCACCTTCTATCCAGTGATTTTATTGAACTCTTAGTAGTTTTAGTATTTGTGAATGTGTTTGTGTGTATTCCTTAGGATTTTCTACATACAAGATCATGTTATATGTTGGGTTTAAAATGTCCAAGCCTTTAGAAAATACGACTTGTATTTGGTGACTTATTGCCGTGAGTGAAATAAAATTGTTCCTATGATTTTATTCTATGAATTGTACAGAAATTACGTGGGGTCAACAAATCCTTTACCTAGGTCAGAAAATCAAGAAACGTGTTACTTTAAAATGATGAATAAGAGAATATGAATTTTGCTAAATGTCACAGCATTTAGCAGTTAGTGTTTATCTTTAGACATATATAATATTACATGATGATGTTAGGGAAGGAATCATGGACTATCTATGTAGGGCAACTTGGGTTTGAGCCTGGTTTTCCTATAAACTAGCATAGCATCTACAATTCTACATTCATTAATTTTTCTGTCATTTCTAAAAACTGACTCTAGCCACACTGATCAAAGCTCTTGTAGAAACCACAATAAGTGATTAGCAATACTACCCTTTTTTCCTATTAACAACACACATAAGAATAGTAATTAGCAAAACAAAATTGTCAACTGTAGACAAACACTTGATGCCACTTTGTTTTTCACAGAAAATGAAAGGAGTAACAAAAAATTATTCATTGTTGCTTTCATTGTTGAAAATGAATGATCTTTCGTGAAAACTGCTTAAAATGAAAAATGCTTCTTTATTCAAAAGTTAATTTTATTCTGAAAGTATTCTGACCAAAGAGCTATAGTTATTTAAATGAGGTGGTTACACAGGAGTAAATCTTCATGACTCTGTGCTAGGAAAAGTCTTCTCACATATAGCTCCAAAAGCACAGGAGCAAAAAAAAAAAAAAAAAGATAAACTGAATCTCATTAAAATTTTTTAAGACTTGTTGTAAACAATACCATCAATAAAATGATAAGACAACCCACAGAATAGGAAAAAAGATTTGTAAGTCATACATCTGATAAGGGCTTGTTTCCAGAAGATGTAAAGAATCCTTAGATTCTCAATAATAAAAACATAAACAGCCCAATTTAAAAATGGGCCAAAGGTCTCATTAGACATTTCTCCAAAGAAGATATACAATGGCCAATAAGCACAAGAAAAAAAATTTCAGCATCTTTAGCCATCAGGGAAACGCAAATCAAAACCACAATGAGATACGAATTCACACCCACTAGGATGGCTACAATTAAAAACAAAGACAGTAACGAGTAATGGCAATGATGTTGAAAATTAGAACCTTCATACATTGCTGGTGGGAATCAAAATGGTACAACTACATTGGAAAAAAGCTTGGCAGTTCCTCAAAAGGTTAAAAAAGAGTTATCATATGACCTCACAAGTCCATTCCTCAGAGAAATGAAAACAAACATTGACACAAAAGCTTGTACATTAATGTTCACAGTGGCATTGTTCATAATGATCAAGGAGCAGAAACAACTCAAGGTCCAAGCAGCGAATAGAAAAGCAAAATGGGGTATATCAATACAATGGAAAATTATTTGGTAATTAAAAGGAACAAAATGTTGATATATGCTACAACGTGGATGAACCCTGAAACTTACACTTAGTGTAAGAAGCCAGGCACAAAAGGCCACACATATTGTATGGTTCTGTTTAAATGAAATGTCCAGAAGAGGCAGATATTTTCTTATTGTAGGTCTGGTAGGGGTCATGTCCTGCCAGAGACCTTGGAGAAGGGGAAAAAAAGGAATAATTAAGTACCTACAATAAGAAAATATCTGGATGGATTTAAAGCCTTGGAAAGATTGATGACAGGATAATGATTGATAAATCACTTTTAATTTAATATCCACTGTATTTCCTGAAAGTAAATATTGTATCATATAAAGGTAGGAGGAACCTTCTATTAGTAAACCTTAATGTTTTAACAAAACCACCTTTGTTAAACTAATACACAATAAAAATTATCTGACTCCGAAAAGTAATCAACCGTTTTTTCTCCGATGATATTTATACAATATAGCATCATAATATTTATTAAAAATCAAGTTATATAAACTTGGTAGCATGTAAATAGTATATAGTGCTCCCTAGGAGACTGTTTGCAAGGGTTTCTCAAACTATAATTGCTATCTACTCTGCTATTAATTATTCATGCTGTAGCTGATGTGTTCTTTTTATTTCCCTGGATCACTAGAGGTAAGGGTGGGGAGGACGAGAAGTGAGGAGGAAAGAGAAGGAAAGAGTAGGAAGTAGGGGAGGGGGAGGGAGGAAGAAAGACAATGATGATGATGGGTTAAAGAAATTTGAGGCAAAAAGAGAATGACAGACGTAGGTTAAAATTACACTTACGTAAATCATCTGTATTTAGACAACTCAAAACTGGAAATGCAGTTGTGGTTTCTCACCAGAAAGTCAAAGAATCACAGAATTGTTACACAGGAAAAGACCTTAGCACATTATCAGTTTTACCACCTACCATGCTTTGCCAAGGAATAGACTCAACATTGGAGACAAGTATTTGAAATTATTAAATCATTGCTTTGATCTAGAAAAGTCTTATAAAAATGGAAAAAGTGTTAATCTTAGAAATCAACTTCCCTCAATGAGTCTGTAGAGAAAAAAACATGTAAACATAATCCCCTCAATGAGTCTGTAGAGAAAAAAAACATGTAAACATAATCAAATCAACATAAATTCACTTTTATAAAATTTATAAATCAAATAAATGACTCACTCGATAGCTTTCAGAGTCCCTCAAACTGTGCAGTTCAAATAGATTTCCTGTCCCATTATACTATCTTAAGTTGTTGTAAAATGTGTTTTCCTATTTGTTACTTTATTGTTTTCCTTCAAATTTAAGAGTAATTTAACTTGCTGTTCATTTTATTTTGAATTATTGTCTTTTCTATGTATTTCCCTCAACCCAAGTTAATTCTGAAAGCTGCTTTCAAGAAGTTACACATTTTCCTAATAGGGAGTACGCTGGGAAACATTTTTCTTTCTTTGAAATTCTAAAATTATTTTTAAAACCCATCCTACTTTATATTCATGTTTAATGAACCATGTTAGTAGTTAGTAACATTTTTTTCAGAAATCCTCATTTTTTAATACAAGATTTTAAAATGTTTAATTTGGGGAATCGTGTGGTCATTTTCCTTTCAAGGAACAAATATAAAACATAATTCAAAGGTTTCAGACAGACTTGGAGTTAGGAGAGGTCACTCGTCACTCAGGCTTCAGGAATGCCTTTGGAGAGGCATTCCTTTTAAATTTTTTTAGGCTCAATTTTTGATTTAAAATGGACTAAAGTTCTCTCTGGCCAATTTCACCTCCAAAGTCCTATTATTCAATTCCTATTCCATAAGAAAAGTCAATAGAAATGTAGATGGAAACAATCAGACATTTGTTTTACAAACAACTTTGTACCCATAGAGAACTTCCTTTAGAATTTATCATTGATTTTTAGAGACAAGGGTAATTCGTTTTCAAAGAGTCACCTCAATTCTTCTGATAAACTTATATCTTGACTCAGAAAAATGATATTGTTGGACTTGCCTGGTGGTCCAGTCAGTGGTTACGAAACGGCCCTGCAGTGCAGGAGACTCAGGTTCCATCCCTGGCCCAGAAAGATAACATACATCTTGGAACAACTAAGCCCATGCACCACAACTCGTGAGCCCCTCAGTTGCAACTGCTGAAGCCCAAGTGCCTAGAGACCACGCACCGCTCGCAGTAACTAAAGAAAGTCTGAGAGCAGCAGCAAGGACTAGCACAGACAAAAATCAATCAACCTTACGAAAAAAATAATATTGTCCACAATAAAAGTTAAAACATTTTAAATTACATATTATGAGTTAAAAATCTAACAAATCGTCATTAAAACAATGAAGAACTAAGCACTTACTTTCATTTGAAGATCCTCAGAACTTTCGGTTGACATGTACAGAGACAGCAGGACAGGCAGAGTGTTTGTGACAGCGACAGCCCGTGCGTGCTCAGGAGTGTGTCTCCCAATGTGTCCCAAGGCCCAGGCGGCGGCAGCCTTAATATGGTCTTCTGGTTCTTCTGACAAGCAGAGTGACAACTGGGGTACACCCTGCAGTGTGGGATCAAAAGAGCAAGAGTTACGAACCCAGAGCAGGATTAAAGGGTCTTCCATGTCTCTCAGACATTAGAAGGAATCATTTCGGTCTTGATCCTTTTTTTCCTTTAAATGGTTCAATAAATGAGCACTTCACAGGGGCCGTCATTTTTCAAGTCAATAAAACGACTAGAACTAATTTACCTTAATTATCTGTAACAATCCAACTAAGCTAAATATCTCTACTAGCGTTTGCTCCCCAAACAGAGGCATTTAACCAAAAAACAGATGCCACAGGCTAGTATTTAGGCAAAGCCAGATACCACTGTGACAAATTAAAAATGCATAGGAGTTTAAAACCATTGGCTTCCCTTCTAAACTAAAAAAGTTAATTTAGAATCTTTTTAAAAATTGACTTTTCACCAAGAGACCAAAAACAAAATACCTACTATAGACCCAAAATCAAATGAATAATATGAGCAAGAATCCTATTTAAGTAAATTTTAGGTGAAATATATTCACTAAAATCTTTCCTGAAATAGTAAATTTCCATTCCTTTTGGTCAACATTTACACAATAGTTTTGCCCAATTTAATCTGACTGAATGTCAAAGTAGGGATGAGTACTTTTACTACACAGATGGCATGTGCTTGTATTTTGTACTTCAAACTTCAATTGTAGCTAAATAAAACAGAATTAACTAAAGGGCCTCAAATGCATCACAGCTTATATACTCAAAGAAGAGTCAAATAACCAAAGCAAATTATAATTCATTCTGTATGGGCATAACTTTCTAACCTGAGACTACACTAAATTATCTAATACTGATACTAAATTATCACCTTAAATTCAGTACCACAAAAGCCACTATCATATGGTCATCCTCCCACAAGCAAAGGCCAAATGATCGTATATAATTTTTTTCCTCCACCTTTAAATTTTTTTTTTTAAATTTTTTGGCCACACCACTCAGCACGTGGGATCTTAGTTCCCCAACTAGGGATCAAATCCAAGTCCCCATGCATTGGAAGCAAGGAGTGTTAAACACTGGAGCATCATGGAAGTCCCTAAATTTGGCTTTTAAGACCAATTTCCAGAAGAGATCTGCCATATTACTTCTTTGACTTCTTTCTTACAACTAAAAATGTATGTCAGCCCATACAAAAAAAAAAGGTCAGAATCTTTTCTATCTTCAGAATGAGGCAACTTTCCAGAAAGTCCATACATCTGAGACATACCAAGAATGAAGAATCAGGAGGAAAAGAAGACAGTTCCCCAAAATGCTGACTTACTAGCCCTGACTGTTATGAACAGCAAATGAGACAAGAAGCGTGAAAGTGCTTTGAACGTTAGAAAGTATTATTTAGATGGGAGGTATTGTCAATCCTGACAGTACTACACAGAACCACAAAGAAGGACGCAGTGCTGTGTGATCGGCCTCAAACTGCTGCTGCCCCCACCTTGATCTTCAATTAAATGAAAGACAACCAGGTGTGAGAGGCCAGCAGCCCCAGACCAAAGAGAGGGAGCACCTCCTGGAGAGTCTGGGGAAGAAACACAGGAAGCAAAAGCAATCGTGGCTTCTTTCCTTGTCCCTCCTATGTGTGCACTTTCTGACAATCCACACAAGAACCGAGAATCAAGAATTCCAATAATATCCCCACCGTGACCCTTCAGAAAGCAGCACTACTGCCCTGGTCACTATCAGAGTCTTTGGTAATAGAAGAACAAAAGGAAAAGCTCAGGATAAAAAGGGAGTGAAGTAAAGTATTATCAAGGAATAGGTAGAAAATAAAGATCTGAGGCTCCTTTTTATTCTGAGGATTAGCAAAGGATTAAAAAAAAATCCACACTTCTGTTTAACATAGAGCAGCGGGTTTTCTAGTCTGATAAGAAACCTGCACCCTAGAGGGTTACCAGAGACACTGGGAGCACACAGCCTTTGAAGCGTGCTTCAGGAGATCAATATTTACTCATTCAACAAATATTTTTTGAGCACCTACTACGAGCCAGGGTTACTCAATCTGGTAGGTTAATACCAAGTTGTAAACTGAGATAAAGCCAAATCCCTTGAGCAAGTAAACAGAAACACTGCTATCCGACATGTGCCCATGCACTCTGAATTGCCCACATCTAAGAAGAGAAATTAGCTCCTGGAAGCTAAAGGAGAGACAGCCATCCATACAAGATGATACAAACGACCACTGGGTATGTTAGTTATCTTTAATCAAAGTATGCTTTACATATTTGTAAAGCCAATCCTTCAAGATACAAAATACACATTTACTTAGATACAGATAATACTAACACTCAGAGGTGCTGACATTTTATTAATATTAAACACTGAGTAAAACTTCAAACTTCCTGCCAAGTCAACCTTATTTTAAGCATTGCTCTGGGAAACTTACTAGTAAGCCTGGAAAAAAGCTGGTAGTTGTCTCTGATCAGTTATATTGTACATTCTGTGGGAGAGTATTAATCTGTGGTCTGTCTTAGAGGATCTCGCTGCAAGAATCAGGGGAAAAGGAAGCAAGGGCAAACCTTGGAAATGATGACCGCCATTGCCAGGTTCTCAGAATGAGCTGCCACATAGCCAAGCAGCATGATGCCTGGCAGCCTTATGTTCCCTTTGCAGGACCCGATGCAGTCGATCACAGCAGCAACTCCCCCAGCGTTCACTATTAGCTGAGAAAGCTAAGAGAAAAGAGGGAGAGTTACATCATCATGGCCCTAAAGTATGAGATGATCTTTATTTTTTTTAAAAATATTTTGTAGAGGATATTTTGGTTTTGTTATTAGCAGTATTAGTTGACTGTGCTGGGTCTTCACTGCAACAAGCAGGCCCCACAGCATGTGGGATCTCAGTTTCCCCACCAGGGACCGAACGCATGTCCCCTGTATTGCAAGATGGATTCTCAATCACTGGACCATGAGGGAAGTCCAGTATAAGATGACCTTTAAATATTATGCTAGCATTGCCAAATTGTAAAATTTCAGACCTAAAAAATGGTGGTTCAGTGGTAAAGAATGCACCTGCCAAGGCAGGGGACTCAGGTTCGATCCCTGGGTCAGGAAAATCCCCTGGAAAAGGAAATGGCAACCCACTCCAGTATTTTTGCCTGGGAAATCCCATGGACAGAGGATCCTGGCAGGCTACAGTCCATGGGGTTGCAAAAGAGTCGGACACAACTTAGGGACTGAACAACAAAATCTGAAATATCATTCATTTCAAAATATCATTCAAAAGTATTATATTTATCAAAGAAATATACAAGGGTAACAATCCTGCTATTTCCAATTACAGAATATGCTCACTGTGAGCCTCTCTGCTGTTCAATTTTTCTTACATGATTTTCATCTTTATCGTAATAGATGTCAAAGTTCCTCACATAAACACTAAACCTAGGGCTAGTTCATAACTAGCTAACTGCTGAAACTGCTCCCCCTCCACACCCAGCACAATGCGTGAGTATGAAGCAGATTAATCACTCAATACTGAAAGATGAGGTCAAACTTGAAATATTCTAGCCTCATTATCTGTCCTTTGCTAGCAATGATCACTAGCTGTTGGCACTCCAATCTTGAAAACTCTCAACCAGATAAAGATGTTGGGTGAAATAAAGAATAAATACTGAAGAGTTTGGTGAAATGAAACTTATTCATGAAAATACGCACAGAAAAAGACACAACTTCAGAATCTACCCAAGTTCGCTTTGTCTCTATTCTTTTCCCACCTAAGAACCCAGAGCAGGGACCACTGTATATGAGCAGCTGAGCAGGGAGTTGGTGATCTCTCCCAATCTGGCGGGGCGCTCTCTCTCACTACAGCCAGATGACCTAGAGTGACAGGACAACAAATGTCCATGGTCCCGACAACTTAGAAATGGAAAGCAGAAAATGATTAATGACTAAAAACTGAGATTTCAGACTCAAACTCCATTGCTGCGACCCAGAGGTTCTCAAGTGGGGGCACTTTTGTCCCCTTGGAGACAGTTGGTAATACCTGGGGACATTTCTGATTGTCACAACTTAGGGGAGGGGTGCCACGAATATCTAGTGGGCAGAGGCCAGAGATGCTGCTGAACATTCACCCTCCAGTATAGATAGCCCCCCACAACAAGGATCATCTCGTCCAAAACGTCAACTGTGCTAAGGGTGAGAAACCCTCAGAACATGTGATACCACCTGGGGCCCTGTCAACAACTGATGTTCTGCTTAATAACTAAAACTAATGGCGTGTGGTTGCATTTTGAAGCTGACGTCTTTTCCCCTTGTTTTACCTCGGGCGTATGTTTTGCAATCTCTCTGATTAAAGTACAAGCGTTTTTCTTCACGTATTCATCTTTGTCCTTCAGACAGGTAAGTACAACTGGAAAAATCTCTGCTTCGACCACCATTTCTGCCAGATCCACAGAATGTTTCGCAATCTGACTGAGAGCTGAAAGGACCTGACGCTATTCAACAAAAAACAAACCCAAATGTTACACTGTGGAGCTCAGCTGTAATTTAAACAGCTTTGTACACATTCAAATTCCTTTGTAAAGAGAAAGAAATAATCACAAATCCAATATAAGCTAAGAGTCTTCAAGTATTCACCTTCTACTCTTATACCTAAATACTCAATTTCTTAAATTTCCTAATTTCCAAGTTGAACATCTTAGTTCACACTACTGACTATTTAAATATTTACTTAGTGAGGCTGGTCAAAGAATATGCCCTTGGGATGAATATTAGTTCTTAATTATGTGCTACTTAAATCATTAGTTTATGATAAGTACAGTAATGTAATACAGACATGATCAAGCAGAACTTTGGGCATGTTGCTGTTATTGTTTTAAAGAATTTTACATTGTCTAATTAACATTGACAATCTTAAAATCTTATAAAACGTAACTATTATAATATAGAGGTATACTTGGTGACTATTAACTGAAAATTAAATTTTAGAAAGCTTGAAAGAAGACTAATATGGCCATTTTCATAGAAAACGTAAATATAACAGTGGGCTAGAAAGCCTTTAGGTCCCTTCTAACCCTGAGGTTTAACCGTGACATAATTCCTTACTTTAACTATTAATTCTGATGTTACTTCTAGTTTTCAGCATTGCACGTACTTTTCCCCAGTCACATCGTGACTGTCTAATCCTTACAGCATAGTTTCCACATACGAAAGGACCCAAATACATAATGTACTCAGACCTGTTTTGCACGATAATTTACTAATTATCTAAAAATGTATACTATCCATCTGCACACATTTCCATTTTCGTAGATTATTGGAATCTTGGTTCGTTTGTTTCTCAACTTTATTTTTAAAATACCTTCAGTTTAGCGTCAGGGTTCAGGATCATCTGGGCTAAGTGAGCAATCACTCCTGCATCCACCACTGTCTGTGCTAACTCTGGAGAATGTGTTGCAGTATCACTGAGGGCAGAAACAGCAATCCTTTTCAAAGCAATTTCTGGCTCCTGGATACAGAGCACTAAAGGAGGAACAGCTCCCGCATCCACCACAGCTTGTGACAGCTCTGTGGGTCCAAGAAAAGTAATTAAGTGAGTATGGGTGACTGACCCTTGTACAAGCCACTTTTCACCCTGACAGATACAGCAAAGGGAAAAGGGCGGGGGGTGTACTTCACTGTCTCGACATCTGCATTTCAAATCAGCCTTCCTGGTTTCATGAACCATGTGGGCCAATCACGAGCTGAAAAGAATACAGGTCAATAGATGGACCTCCATTTACATGAACACATTTGAGGTAGATTAGGCTGAAATGGCTTGTTATTCTTTTTTTTTTTTTTTAAGAGAGTAAGCAGATGTCAGCTGTTTAAGCTCTGACAATTCTGCACTTCTCAATAGGCAAGCATTTTATGCATGGTTTACAATAACAGAGAAAATTAAAGTACCAAAAATTTACCAACCACACTAATTAGGCAGTACTTTGTGCTATTTACATGAGTAAACATTAACATGAATCTCGTGCCAATAATGTTGATTTTTTAATTCCTTTCACCTTATTGTACTCTTTAAAAGATTTTTTAAAACTTTGTACACAAAAGGTGCATTTTTGTTGTGCATACAAAAATATTTTCAAAAATGAGAACTACAACCAAACAACAGGATTTAGTATATAAAATGTTAACATTAGAGAAATTAATCATAAACATTTTATATGTCAGAAATAATATCTTTTGAATATACATGTTGATTTACTTGTGCGTCCAAGAATAACAGCTATAAAAAGTAACACAGCTTTTAAATTACAGAGAATGTGAGGCAAACAGGCAGACCCATATATGTGTAAAAAATGTCTTTTCAGAAGCATAAAATATACTACATAGTTACAGATGCTACTCTCGTGTTCATGGTCTCTCTTACTGAATCACATACACCCATTTCTACAATCTCTTCCTTTCAAATTATGTTCTCATTTTCTCAGATGTGTAGCAGCTTGACAATTTATATCTTTTTTGTTATTTTTTAAAAAATTTTTTATTGGAGTATAGTTGCTTTACAATGTTGCATTAGTCTCTGCTGTACAAAGTGAGTGAGTTATACATATATATGCCCTCTTTTTTATATTTCTTTCCCATTTAGGTCACCACACAGCAGAATGTAAATTGGTATAGCCACTATGGAGAACAGTATGGAGAAGCCTCAAAAAACTAAAAACAGAACTATCAAATGACCCAGCAATTCCACTCCTGGACAATTTATGTCAACAGCCAAATTATCAATTCAGCATATCACTTAGTCTTTAAACAAGAGTCTTTCATTTTTCAAACAATCGGTAATATCACATTTTCTAAAAGGAAATAATGTTAGCAAATGAAGGTTAGTGTCCAATACTTGTTTTCCTTCAATTATTATAATTATCTGAGAAGTCCCATATTGTATAAATGATTCATTCATTCTTTCATTAAACAAGTATTAATGGAAGGTTATTATGTGCCAGACTCATTCAACGCTGGTGCAAATGATACACTTCTACAAATTAACATTACACTGATGAGCAAATATGTTTCAATTAAAAAATCCAGTGTGAAATATGAAATACAATGGGAAGCTAATATGTAATCTCAAGAACCAGAGGCAGATAAGAGGAATATGTTTTTTAAAAAAAGGTGGGGAGGGGACTCTTTTGGTGGCCAGTGGTTAAGACTCTGCTTTTACTACAGAGAGCATGAGTTCAATCCCTGTTCAAGGAAATAAGATCCTATATGCTGCACAGTATGGCCAAAAAGTAAAAATAAAAAATAATTTTTTATTTAAAAAAAAAAGATAACAGCAGCAACTGACTATTAAACATCCACCTCAAATCAATAGAAGACATTCCTCGGAAACCTCTCTGAGATTCTACTGCCACTTCCTGAAGACCAACAGTATAGCAGGTACAGCAGGGGATCACTCCTTCTTCCCAAGGGAAGAGGGAAGAAAACATAAGGGTGTGATATCATGTAGTTTCCATATATAATTTTTATATTCTATTTTAATAATTAGCATGTTAATTTAATTCAATCCAAATTATACAGGTGTGGTATGGTTGCTGCTGTTGCTTAGTCGCCCCATTGTGTCCGACTCTATGTGACCCCATAGACTGCAGCACGCCAGACCTCCCTGTTGTATGGTAACATCAACTTTCTGTAGTCATATTCAAGGGTGACTGGAATTTACATATCCAGGTGACCCTTGAACAACACTGGATTTGATCTGTATGGGTCCATGTGTAGGCAGACTTTTTCAATGATAAACTCTGTGGTACTGCACCATCAGTGGTTGACTGGATTCAGAATCTCGGATATGCAAGAAGTGATAATATGAGGGCTGACTATAAATTATACTCGGATTTTCCACTCTGGGGAGGATCAGCACCTCTAACTCCCACATTGTTCAAGGTCAACTCTACTGGGCTAAATATTTTATTTTGAGAAAGCATAAGGATTACTTCATATATGTATGTATTTTCACTTTTACACACCGTTTCTAAGAGTAAAGAATATGCAGTGAACAATTAAAAGTATTATTAATAAAGACAAAGTTCTTTAAAACAAGTATTATGGTTGTAACTCCCATACATTTTATTCTTTCCTTGAATAATTGAGTACCATTATCCTCCTTTCCCTGAACTCTGTTATGAAAGAAACCCCAGTTTTTCTGGCTTGTTACCCATTCCCATCTAAAGCTGCTTTCCATTTCTTTCTGGAATAGTGATGCTAAATGAGAGGAAGGATGGGGAAAGCACCAAAGAAAGGCTTGCCTGAAGGGAATGAAGCTTCCAGGGACCTGGATGGGGCCTAGCAATCAATGCTGTACTTGAGTTTCATATACTTTACCTCTCCAGTTTACATGTTCCTTCAAAACCTGGCTCTGCTCTTACATGGCACACATTGTTATTAATAAACAATATTGTTCAACCACCTTCATACATATACTGGGTACAAGACATATATACAGGTAAGAGTACATATACACATTATAATATAATAGGCCTAAATAACATAAGCCATACTACTGGGTTGACCCAAAGGTTCACTCAGGTTTTTCTATAAGATATTATGGTTCTATAAGATACTAGGTTATGGAAAAACCCAAATGAACCTTTTGGCCAATCCAATATATTACACAAACCACAGGCTAACTATTTCATCCTGCCTCTACCGCTCTTTTTTCCTGCACTGTATCTTTCTTCTCTTCCATACCATCGCTTCCTCTGGTATTTCTGTACCAGTCACAGTTGGCTTCTTGTCAGTCAGGGCATGGGCTTGTGAACCAATCCTGGCAAATGGGACCTGGGTAGAAGTCAGCTGGAAGCATCTGTGAGAGACTTTCCTCTGGAATAAACAGAAATACACAGGAGGAAACACCACCTCATCTGTGCTGGACATGGGCACATCTGCCTGCAAATGACATCTGGGAACTCCTACATTCATCTTGCAACTGTAATAGGAGAAATTGCCAATATGCTGAGGATGGCTGAGTACAAAAATGAGAAACATCTGGGTCCCCCATGACACTGTTCAGCTGCACAACCAACCTTGGAATGGCTCTGACTCTGAATTTTGTGTCATGTGAAATGAAAAACATCCTCAGGCTTAAGCCACCTGCAGTTGATAGTCTGACTTACAGCCCCAGCCATACTGATATGATTCTGTCCTCTCTCAGGCTTGGTGTATGCACATATTTTGCTCTCTTTTCTGGTCATTTAATGTTCATTACATGCTTACTGTGTGCCAGAAACTGGGTTAGTTAGATCTTGGGGAAGCCAAATAGAGTAAAACATTGTTCTGTTCTGGTGGACTCTGCTAAAGGTGAGTGTGTGAACAGACCACAGTGCAGAGTGGGGCTGGGAGTCAAGTGTGTGGAGTGTTTGGGGAAATGTACACAGGGTGCAATTTCAGGCAGTGCTTCCCATTTTCCTTCCATCTCCCCTTTTCTTCTTCCCTATACTTTTCTGTTAAAAAAAAAAAAAAGGCAGGAATAACCAAAACTCTTACAAAAATCTGGTATACTTAAAAGTTAATACCCATAGAGGACTTCCCTGGTGGTCCAGTGGCTAAGACTCTGCTCCCAACACACGGGCCTGGGTTCAATCCCTGGTCAGGGAACTCAATCCCACAAGCTGCAATTAAAAGATCCCGCTTGCAGCAACTAAGACTCAAATGCAACCAAATAAATAAATACATTTTTTTAAAGTTACTCTCCATAGGAGAAATCTCACAGAATTCATTTTAACTCTAATTTGGAAATGCGTGTGGGTTGTTTAATTAATTATTACACTTTGAAAATCAAAGATTGATATGTACAGACGTTCATAAAAGTTTTGACCAGGGAAAAAAACAAGCCAAGAAATTTATCTTAAGTGTGGGAAAATATCTTAACCTCCTTGTAAATTTTAAATGAATCTTCAAAAAGTGAATTTTTAACAACTATATCTTCTTTTACGCAAGAACATGTGACATAATCATATACTGTCAGGTAACCAGCAAGATTAGAGGTGGTTATGCCCCCCCAAAAAAAATCAGAGTAAAAAGGTTTTATGTTATACCAACACATTAATAGGATTTAAATGGGGTTTATGGCACTATCGGTGATACATTTTCTTCTCTATTTGCCAAATTTTCTTCAACATAATTATTTTTAAAAAATAAAAGAAATATGAACATGTCTTTGACTATACACATAGCTATTGCTGGGGCTAACTATACTAACATTACTATCACAAAGGAAAAATAATATAAATACTTCAGCTTACTTCTCAATATGGAAGAAATTTTCTTATTTTTAAAAATGGTGGGAATGTATATCTCCTTTAAACAAATTCAGAAAGAATGCATAATTATTCTTTGAAAAATTACAAATATATTCTAGAAATACTATTCACTTTTTCACACTTTCCTTCTTGTCTTAATTCATCCCTTTGTTACATTTAAAATATTACATTTTTAAAATACTAAGTGTTATTCATTTTTAACTATTTTTTAGGCTTCAAATTGTTAGGGGAAATAAAGCTATCCAATAGCACCTTCCT